TATACACACATAAAAGCCTTTGAACTAAATGTTCACTAGTGACACTAATAATAGGATTTCATGTGTGTTTGTACCTGATTTTCAGCTTCATCCAACATTTTCTGAACGGCCTCCTACAAATGGTGTAAAGACACGGCTGGTGAAAATGTGTAGCGGTCAACATACTGCAGCAGATCTGTTACTGTGTGTTAAGACCACACTCAGAGGGGACTGGCATTTCAACATTTCTGGACTTGTTGGAAAGCAATGTCACACACTGTTTTCACACAAAGTAAAAGATACATCCTTGTGAGAGCTGAAGCTGCTGTTAGGGTTTTTTCTCTTTGTGTGTATCTTAGTTGAGGAGTTGGACGGTTGCTTGTGCCACTCAGTCAAGGAAATGTTTAAAACAACCATGTACAATGCAAAAACACATTTTACAAAAGAGACATGATTATCTGAATCTTCCCTTTTGGATGGATAACATAAACACTCATGATTAAGTAGAAGAGGATATATTTCTTTTTGTTTCTATCCTCCTGGGGCCCGTTTCACCTCTCTGTCCCGCTTGTCCTGCTGCTTCTGCTCTTTTTCTTCCTGTTCCTTCTTCTGCTGGGCCTCCCATTCCTCCTTTATCATCCGCTGGGAACAAAAAAAAGAAAGACATAAAGACATTAATATTCTATTTAGAAGGACAGGTCAATCAGGCTCACTTGCGCTAATCAATTAGCCAGTTAATCAATAATCTCCGGTGTCAGGCTCCAGTTATTCATACTATTTAAGGCAAGCTATTACGGTTGTCGCGATTCATGTTGGTTCTGATCACTCCATTAGATTAGTTCACAATTGGACAACATACTAAAGACCATATGCAGAATAAATATGTTTCCACAGGGTGTTTTTATGTTCATGAGGAATGAGGAATACAAACAGTAGATTACCTCCTCCTCCTCTTTTCTTTTCCTTGCAGCCTCCTCCCTCTCAGCCCTCAGCCTGAACTCCTCCTGGGCAAACCTTTCTTTTTCCAACCACTCTTCATGCAGCCGCAGTCTGAAAAAACAAGTAAACACAGATCAAACACAATGAAGATTATATTTTTTAAATGGTAAATGAAGGTATATGTGCTGCTGTGCCGTCATTGAATGTGACTGAATGTGCAGCTGCATGACAGAGGAGTGACGTCAGTATTGAGCTACCTTTCCTCCTCTGCAACATCGTCATCCTCTTCATCATGTATTTCTTCTCCTTCTTCAGGTGTGAAGCTTGGTACATTTTTCAAACCTGTAACAGAGTAGACATTGTGGTTCATCTGGCTAATGGTGCGGCAACAACTGTAGAAATAAAATGTAAAACAGAGCCGCTATCTTCGTACCACATTCTTGGGCGAGAGCTTGTCGTTTCCGTTTTCTCCTCTCTTTCCTCAGAGCAGCTCTGCGTTGCTTTTGACTAGAGACAAGATGACATTTGAAACAATGATCAGATGTGAGGACTAGAAAAGATAAACTACATGCTACTGGTGGGTGCAAAGACGTTACAAATACAGACCTGCAGTGTATGTGCACTATTACTGTTACTACACGTTATTAGTATTAATAGTGGTGTTAGTAGATGTATCACAGCGGGGTTGATTTAGCTAACAAGTGTAATTGAGTAACGTTAGTACTACTAGGGCAATAATGCAAGGTACAAATAGTAATATGGTCTCAAATTGAAAAGAATGAAACAACACGTTAGGCTTTGAAAAAGGTAACGCTCGCGCTAGTAATAACGGCAGGACTGCTGAATTTTCAACATTATAATGCCGTTTACATCGTTACTTTTTTATTTTATTTTGGTCCACCACTCAAACATTTAGAGATACATTTAAAGAGAGGCACCGACCTTAACACAGCAGCAGAAATCATAGGTGGTGGTGCTGCCATCACAGCTAGCAGAAGCTAAAGTTAGTTAGCATGTTCAGCTAACGTTAGCGCAAGTTGTTTCTTTTCATCCGCGTTTAGTTGAAACAAAACCCACATTAGTCTAAATGTTCTCTGGCTGGACGGGTTATTTCCAACGTGGATTTGTTTCATCAGAGAAGTGATATGACCGAATCATTTCTCTTTGTTGTAAACTTTAGCTAGTTAGCTACATGCGGATTTGTTTGTCCGGAAGAGGTAGTGTGGAAACAAAGTACTTCCGGTTTAAACAATCCAAATAAAATACTGTTAAAATACATTTAACATTTTTGTCAAATGCCCTTAAATGGTTGAATATCTATGTACTTATCCATGTATAAATCACACTATATAGTATTAAAAGCATAGACAGGTGTGAATAATTTCTTTATTTGCCAATTTATTGGAAAAAAGGCACTGCACAGAAACCTCAGTGTCAACAAGAAAGCAGTTTTTGTAAAAACAACTACCAAAAATAATTAAGAACAATAATTATTTTCAAGTAGTTTGAATCGCAAACACAGGTCTAACAGCATTAGTATCTGTGCTGTGACACTGTGTGTATAAAAACACACTTATTTTGTAAAAATGTATGTTCACATTTTCAAAATAAGCAAACAAACATAAATGCTAGATGACACAAACTCTGTTTGGCACTGGAGTATTTTGTCATGTCTCCAATACCTCCACTTAGCCCTCATTAAAGTTAAAGTTCTTCCCCTCCAAAAACAGCAACTTCTAATAACTGCAAACACAGAGCGGTCTTTTACAACTACTTCATCCTTTTATTTAGGCATCCTCGTCTCTCTCTCTCTCTCTCTCTCTCTCTCTCTCTCTCTCTCTCTCTCTGTCATTCAGTCTTCTTATCTGGCATTGGCCTGAGGAAGAGGGCAGGCCTGCTGCAGCAGCGGTAGCACAGAGCCTGAGGCACCAGAGCGTACAGGATATTGACCAGCAAGAAGACAAGCTGGCCGCCAGCAGGCACTCTGTAGGAGAACGGCGTCCGTGTGTGAAGTGACGCACCAATATGAGCGAACTGGGCCTGCGAATTGAAGCAGGGAGGGAGAAATGGGAAAATGACAGTGATGACTAAAAGCTTCAGTCAGTAGAGTCACACTAACAGGAACACTGTTTTCTTATATTACTTGCTTATAAAGAGTCAGTTTTTTTTTTTAAATATCTCGTGCGCCTGATTAAACAATTCCATGAAGATGTCTGACTGATATCTCCTCCTAAATCTTCCATTTCTCCTTTTTTCTTTGATCATTGTGTTAAACATCAGTGCAAAATTGTGAATATAGAAGGAAATCCTCTCATATCTTTACAAGACATCACATTGTCTACATTTTACAGTTCATATCGAGGAATATTTAAAAGAAAACATAGGTAAAATGATAAGATAAATTCAGGGAACAATTGTTTTATGGTGGATTATTCATTTAATGGACTGATGACCATAAAACGTGGACACATTCTGATACTTAAAATATTTTTTCAATCTAACAGACTCCTGCCAGTTACCTTTTCATAGAAATTCACTGAAAAAAGACACACGACATGTCTCACAGCAATGTGAGGAATTTAAGTATTAAAAGCATTCTAAGCATGTTTAATAGCACCCCTCGTGGTGGATATTGTATGTTTACAGTATATTTACTGATAGAAGTGTTAAACCATAAAAGCATAATCATTGAATGTATTAAACTAAAAAGTATAGTCACTCTATGTATTGATGTTAGGTGAGTGAGGGAATTTCAGGTCGCAACCATTCAAGGACATGAGTAGAGTCTGCTACAACGAAGGATGGCCGAGCGAGGATATGGTGTATGCTGCTTTAAGGAAGGAAGAGGACTGACCATCGGGTCAAAGGCCAGGAGGAGCTTATTGGATTTCAGCCAATCACTGAGCTGATACGGGACATCTCAGAGACACTCAGGACACAGTCTGCCGGGTGGCCCGGATTGGGCCTCAGTTTCATGAAATATTATGTTATTGATAGTGTAATTCAGTTTGTAACTGTTTTAGCTTCTGTCAATTATTAAATACTTTTTTGATTATAAACCGGATCCAGCAGATTTTTGGTACGACTCTGCTGACAAAAGATAGCAGCAGCGGGAGACGTGCGGCCTTCCATAGTTCAGAGAGAGGTTCTGGACTCAACAGCAACCACGGCTGTCAAAGCCTCAGCTTTCCTATATATAGCTGGGTCAAACAGCTGACATTTAAGTGAACACCACCAATACCACCATTCCTCTTGGTCTGAAGTCAGCTTCCCCCCTTATCCCGCTGATGAGTGACGCCCCAGCCTGCAGCTCAAATACAATAGCTGCTTTGTCTTGTTGCGATGTGATTGGCACACAAGTTGCTCCCACAGCATTGCCTCATCTACCTGGAATGATGATGTCATGTGGGATATATGACATGAACACCAGATGTAGACCTCTTCTCTTGACTTGTTAGGCCCTTCTCACAGCAGATCTCTTTGACATGTCATTGTAGGGTAAACACAGGTGCAATCAATAACATTAATTATGACCTTGTTCAAGGTGAACCAGGGCCTTGGTATTGTGCATGCTGTCTCGCTGGAATGCCTGTGAAACACTAAAAAGAATGGGACCATTATTGATTTGATCAAGTCAAAAACACCTGTGTTTACCCTGCTGGGACATGGCTGCTGGGAAAAGTTTCTATAGACATATCTTTAACCCTCGTATAAGTGTAGCACCTGTTGCAGTCTAGACAGCCAGATTAAGTAAAAACACATGTGCTAGTGCAGGATCTTTACCTGCAAAGGCCTAGTTATTCCTTTGCTGGTGAGCGAGGAATAAACAGCAAGGGCGTACCTGGGCCAGTGCTCCGGAGTGCACTAGAGTCAGATCAGTCATCCACTCACATCCTGGGACCATCAGCCCATAGAGAGTAATGATGTAGTATGGTCCAGAGTACAGCAGGCTCACCAGCATCTGGCAAACACAGACACAGTTTACTTCTTTAGAAACAAGTGCAATGACAGTATCAGGATGAGCGTGTGGTGTTCATAGCTTTACTGAGTTACCTGTATTTTAGGATAGGCTGAAGGGTCTTTGAGGTAAGGCTCATACTGTCGTGTGTAGGCTTGACACCATTCGCCGGAACAGTCCAGAACAACCTAACAGACACATAAAGATTATTATTATTCCACCACGGTGTGTGTGAGCACTGGCAGGTGATCATCTGATGGTTTCTCACCAGGCCTCTGAAGACGCAGAAAGCAAAAGCAGGAATGAGGTAGATGATGAACAGTAGGTCCAGAGGTCTGTGGAGTAAACTTTTTCTTTCAGCCTCCTGGACGCTCTGAGAGAAAGCAACAACAGGATGTTAATACAGGGCTCTCTGTCACACACACAATATAGTATACAGTATATGAAGGGAATCTTCCAATAATATGCTTTATTGTAACAATGTCCAGTTTTGATGCCGACTTACTGTCAACTGAACTTCCCGTGTGGAGGGCTGGCTGAAGATGCGTAAGCAGGCCCAGACAGACACAGAAATATATAGCATGTGGAGGAGGAAGAGAGGGCTAACTTGGGTCCCATATTTACCTTAGAGACAGACAAAGATAATATATCACCATGGCAAAGACACAGAACCAAAACACTGAACATAGCAGTATACACAGTAAAATGGGCATCTTTTTTAATTACATTGTCAGGGGAGGTGTGTGCAGGGGGTTACAGGCTACCCTACACTAGCCGTCTAAAAGCATGCCATTATTTTTAGTGTACTTACCCACAGCATTCCCAAGAATGTAGACTATGGCACGCGTGAGAAAAGATCCCATCCAGTAGAGTCCTATGGCTCGGTAACTGTCCCTGCATGTGCAAACCACGAAACACCACTATTGTCAAAGTCAAATGATTACATTATACTTCCAAGAGACTCGGATGGATAGATGGATGGATAGATAGATAGACAAACAGATGGGTAGATCTCACAGACAGACCGTTCTTACCCCCAAGTAATCGCCGCAATCATGACCAGATACATGAGATAGTGCACACAGCCGTCCCAATAGGAGATCATGTGCCCATGTGCTGTATTAATATGTGGATCTGCCTAAAACACAGGGTGGATCTATCAGTAAGTACAAAGAGATAGCTCACAAACAGGACTCACAACACAACACTTGCCTCTCTGAGGTAAAACACCACGAATCCATCAATGATGTTGTCTTGCTCCAGCCCGATGATCAGATTCACCACACAGAAGAATGCATACACTGCAAACACTGGACAGATAGATGCATACTTAAGGTTTACTGCAGGTTTACTCCCCAATAACTCCCTCTATTTTCATGTAAGTCAGAGAGAAGCTTATGATTCCTTTCACATGACTTGTTGTTAAATCAATATTTCTCTCCAAATACTACAAACATTTAAAAATGTCTTGGTCCCGACAAGAAACGTGCATTTCATAATTCATACCATAGAAAAGAGGATCAACTGGAGCCTTCTTCTTGAGCATAAAATGGGTTGAAATGGACAGGATGAGGACTGTTGAACAGCCAGCGAAGAAGAAAGCTTCAGCACTAAATGCAGAGATATGTGTAGTTTTAAAAGATATGACAAATCATTTTCAAATTATGCTAATTAGTGCTGCACTGGCAACAGTCTCTTAATCAGCAGAGAAAATAGAGGTAACTCAAACTAAAAAGGCCTCTTCTCACTCACCTGTTGTTGTAAATGAGGGAATTAAATAAAAAGCAGATGGGGATGGACATCAAGGAGAGTACAAACACTCCCGTCCCTGCAGACGCGCTCATTGCGGACCAGGGTTGAGCAATTGTATCTTGTGGGAAAATTGAGAATTTAAAATAACTCTGCCGCTTAGACTCTCCTGTTTAGTCTGCGAGTCATATCTCAAGGAATTGGGGGAAAGTCCCGATGTGACAAACTGTAAACAACGCACCAACTTCCAATCCAGCTCCTGCGTGCATGCTCTGTCATGTGTTTCTGGTCTTTCTCGTTCTCATTCCTTCTCCCTCTCTCTCTCTCTATCTCTCTCTCTCATACCACACACACACACGCACACACGCACACACACACGCACACACACACACACACACGCACACACAAAGATAGAGATAGAGAGAGAGTGAGAGAGCGAGCGGTTCACATCACCGTGACAGAGAATGATTTTACTGAATATTGCAGCTTTATTCAATATAAAAGCATGCGTTATTAGCAGAAAAACTCTAATTAGTTTATTTTTCATCATTGCCATTAAAAAGCTGTGAAGGTTTGTTAATGTTATTTAAGTAAAGGAGCAGACTCTGACATCTAGTGGTCGATTGGAAATTAAAAAGAAAAGTATACAAATACATATATAAATGGGTTTGTTTATAAATGTAAACAACATTTACAATTGATATGTATGGAAATATATGTATTAATATGTTTGTTATCTGATTTATAAATAATAATTAAAATAAACCCCTGACTAAAAAACAGGATTTATATGGTGGTCACCAAAAATGCAATTGCTAATTTAAAAATGTTTGAATGTATTACTACTGTTTGTCCTCCTTCATAAATCAAATTTATTGGGGAAAAATGATCTATTAACAAATGTTAATTTACTAACAAACACAAACATTGCTTTATCAGCAACTGTATTGGTAACGTTAATATATCACATTAAATTATGTATACATAGCGAGAACATTTTGTTTTATGAATTTGTCTTTTGTTTTCAATACTAATTTCGTGTTAATATTAATACATTGTACTTTTTGCTCCCTTTCTCTTCACTTGATTGTTTGTTTCTCTTGAACACAGCAATAAAGTTTAATGAAAGAAAAAAAAGTGTTTTGAAGGAAGTGTCCGTCTGCGTCATTTCTGGAGGAACGCTAGCTAAACATCAAAGAATGATGGCGTCCGCCGCGATGGATACCACGTAAATAAAAAACAACACACACGGTACGGTCGGTGCATTTTCCTGTGACATTAACGGTGCTTTCGGGACGTTGAATAAAAAATTTAAAACGTGTCGTTATGGCGACCGGGAGCGGCGGCAGCATCGGTGTCGGCTTAGCGTCAAACCATGGCGACCAGGAGGCAGCATTTAACTCGGTTCAGTCTGGAGCCGCGGCATTGCTCGCCAACATGCCAGCCTCCTCCGGTTCTGCCCGGTCCGCCTCCCCGCCTGTCCTCGGCCTTCACCGGGAGCCCATGTACAATTGGCAGGCGACGAAGAGCTCCCTGAAGGAGCGCTTCGCATTCCTCTTCAACAACGAGCTGCTCAGCGACGTCAGGTTCATCGTGGGGAAGGGCAGACAGGCCCAGAGGATACCGGCCCATAAGTTCGTCCTGGCCGCCGGCAGTGCCGTTTTTGATGCCATGTTCAACGGTGGGATGGCCACAACCTCGACTGAGATAGAGCTGCCTGATGTGGAACCGGCAGCCTTCCTCGCCCTGCTCAGGTAGGCCAGGTGATCACCATGCACCAAAGTAAAGCCCACTTAGTAATTTATCTGTCCGTCCAGCAACGTTCAGCTTCAGTTACATTTAAAGGAGGATGTAGGCCTGATATAGTGATTGCACTGCACACTGGGAAGAGCTAAATGGGAACACCATGACAGGAGCAGTGTGTAAATATGATAGTATAACTCTCAGATCATTAGCCCAGGTAGAACAACATTCCAAAGTCTAGTGTACTGTAGAGACATAGGTCCATATGTCAAATATCTCTTAGATAGTTATAGAAACTATAACAGACAGTTGTTTATGCAGTTATAAGTGCCTGGTTTCAGATACAATGCTTTTATAGATGCCTTACTTTCTGATATTATAACTTTTTATTTCCTACAAACCCCTTTTCCCATTTAATTAAGTTAGTAAGTAAAACATCAATATTGCAAAGACCAGCTGCTGTACAAGAGTATTTCCCCCCCTAAAAAAAAATAGTCTAAAATTGGCAAAATTATGATTTACATCAGGTTCTGTCTGATAAGAGAAAAAGTAAACATCAAGACTATAAATGTGACACTTGATGCCATCTCTTGGACGGTCTTTGGATTCGGATAGATTTCTGCTGCTAGCAAAGAAGTACTGAGGTTTGTTACTCGGCCGTAGTGCTTTTTTAAGGAACACTACCTGGTTGGACACCATCGACATACTGCAAATGTATTTCTAGTCAAGATTTTTCAGGCTAAAATGTGATACATTTTTTGAATTCTTCGGTGGATAACGTCATGAATACCTGACCATAAACAATGTTCTGTTGCCCGTTTCCTCTGCACAGGTTCTTGTATTCCGACGAGGTCCACATTGGTCCTGAGACTGTGATGACGACTCTGTATACGGCCAAGAAGTACGCGGTCCCTGCTCTGGAGAGTCGCTGTGTGGAGTTCCTCACCAAGCACCTCAGAGCCGACAACGCGTTCATGCTCCTCACTCAGGTTATTGTCTCAGTTACTGTGTAGTACATATAGACCCCTAAACTCTCTCGCATCAACCTTTGGTTTGACACCTTGATATTTATCTCGTTAGCCCCAGATATATCACATATTATATTTATTATATTATATTTTTAGTTTTCTGTCTCTGAGATTTCATTTTGAGGTGCTCAAAAGTGTTGAAAAGTGACGTTTGACAGCAACACGTCTTTCCAGAAATGGTGGTATCAACTGGGACATTATTTCTGGAAACACACACATTGCTGTTGAGTGTTGCACATGTACTATTTAGATGCTTTGGGCAGCACAATTTAATTCCCATTGAACCTCCCATTTAATGACAGTGGCTGTGGAAACTGCTTGGTCAGAAACCACCAGGAGAAAGTGAGAAAATATGTTCACAGTATTTTCGGTGAATCCACCCTCATAAGACGTAAAGCACAAAAATACATTTTAAAGCAGAGCAGAAGGTTTCAATAACAGCGTGATCAGATTTTTAAGGATGTCTCCTGGGGAAAAATATAAAACCATGTAATAACAATTTTGCCTTGTTCGTTCCATCTGCTGGAAACTGTCAGACAGTGGCTCTTTCAGTGGAGGGTGAAGCCATTTTTCTTTCTGTGTATCCCCACAGGACCATCTTGCAGCCATCGATGGTTGAGTTTTTACGACATTAGTTTGTGCTATTTTTGGTTCATGCTGCCGTTTGTTTGGGTTCAGCATTTTGTCTGATGCTGGCTTCTACGCCATCAGGCTGCATGCTCAGCCGCTTATCAAAAAACACTCCTTTTTATTTATTTATTTTTTTCCAACACGGCAACAAAAGAGACGCATCTCTAGCGGTGTACGCTTAATTCCCAGTGTCATTGCTTGGTTACTCATTTTAAGTTCATTAACATTTCATGAAGTTTGAGTGATGTTTTTATCAGACTTGAATATTAGATTTGCAAAATGAGGTGGTGTTAGAATCTACTGACTGCTTTATTTCCCCCAACATCTTTTAGTTAATCTTACACAATATTTAATCTATAAAGGAGACACTTACATTTTCTCAGCTTTTTAAAAATCCTTTGGTGCATGAAAGGTAATTGACCAGTACCTAATGGATACTAATGTGGCTGATGTTGTGCTTTCATTACAGGCAAGGTTATTCGATGAGCCTCAACTTGCCAGTCTCTGCTTGGACACTATAGACAAAAGCACTGCGGACGCAATAAACGCAGAGGGTTTTACAGATATCGACCTTGGTATGCGAGTCTTTCTTCACAAACTGATTTTCTTTTTTCTTCTTTGGATGTAAACTGATGACCACTCTGTGTATTTGCATGCGCAGACACCTTATGTGCAGTGCTACAAAGAGACACACTCAGCATCAGGGAGAACCGCTTGTTTGGGGCGGTGGTACGCTGGGCAGAGGCCGAGTGTTACAGACAACAGCTTCCCCCGACCTCTGAGAACAAACAGAAGGTTCTGGGCAAAGCCCTCCCGCTCATCCGCTTCCCGCTCATGACCGTTGAGGAGTTTGCTGCAGGTATAGAACTTGTTTCTCTTCCTGCAATAGTTTTTTTTTTTTTTGTTTCTTTTTTTTTCAACACTATACTAACCATTTCAGCCAAACATATTCATCATGTTCCTGATTTGTCCATACAGCTCAAACCACAGAAACCAGCTTGATATTCTTTCTTGTGCAACAGGGCCTGCCCAGTCTGGAATATTGTTCGATCGGGAGGTGGTAAATCTGTTTTTACACTTTACAGTAAACCCCAAACCACGGGTCGACTACATCGACAGGCCCCGCTGCTGCCTCAGGGGGGAGGAGTGCAGCATTAATAGATTCCAGCAGGTTGAGAGTCGATGGGGGTACAGTGGTACCAGCGACAGAATCAGGTGAGATGACCAACATCGGTGGTCAGTTGTTCATCTCAACAAACTGAGTTCTGTTGGTCTAATTTGTTTTCTCTGTCTGCCTTTCTCCTTCTGCAGATTCAATGTTAACAAAAGAATATCCATAGTGGGTTTTGGCTTGTATGGTTCAATACATGGACCCACTGACTATCAGGTCAACATACAGGTAACTACTGCCATTGAGGCATAGGTGCGTTGTTTTTCATATTAGTACCGATGCATCACACCAGTTTCACAACCGATATTTTTATTCAGGGTATCTTTGAGGAAGATTAACAGATTTTTTAAAATTTTTACAAAAAAGCCAATCTTCTCAAAAGTACAATGTTGTCTTAACATAAGCAGCAATGCAATAACTTAAAGGGTTTAAAAAAAAGCTAAATATAAGAAGTACAAATCAGAGGATACATTTCACATCAGTGCTACTACTTGACAGTCTTTGATACTTTTCATTCAGATACCTTTTAAAGCTTTATAGCCAGCCCTACGTGTAGCGAGCCCACTTACCCTCCATCCTGTATGTTTCGTAATTCCTCTCCAGTTAGAGCTGATTTGTACTACCTTGGAGAACAAGTGTGTACGGTGACGACGCAAGACACCGTTGTCTTGTATCCGCTTTACATTGTGATCTGCAGAGAACGCTGCGGCTAGAGAGATCGGTATCTCTGCCTCTTTCTCAGTGGATT